AATTGTATTAATTAATTTTATTAATTTCATCTTTATTCTTTTGCAAATGAACATCATGTGTTCCAACACCAGGGTATTCTTTATATATTGAACTGTCCTGACACACTTGTCAGAAATCAATTAACCATAAAAGAAAAGGATTTCTGAGCTGTCCATCCTGTTCTATTGTTCTCTACATCTGTTCTTAGGCCAGCGTCTCATTATTTTGATTATTCTAGTTTTGTAGTAAGTTTTGAATTTGGGAAGTATCCGTTTTCCAAATTTGATCTTCTTTTAATAAGATTTGTTGGGCATATTATATATGAATTTCAGGACCAGCTTGTCAATTTCTGAAAAAGGAGAAAAGAAACCCAAGACTTTGGTAGAGATTGTGTTGAATCTGTAGTTCATTTATGAGACTGTCACCTACATAACAATATTAAGTCTTCTGATGCATTAACAGAGATATCTTTCCATTTATTTAGATCTTCTTTAACTAAAATCAACAATTTTTTTAGAATACAAGTGTGATACTTTTTTGATAAACTTGTTCCTAAGAATTTTGTGTTTCGATGCTATTATAAATGGCATTGTTTGCTTAAGTCAATTTTGTTTTATTCATTGTCACTATAAAATACTTTGTTTTTGCATATTGATCTCATATCACACAAGTTTGCTGAACTCATTTCTTGTACCTAATAGTTTTTTACTCGATTATTTAGGATATTCTACTTAAATATTTTAGGATAATCTATTTAAAAGATCATGCAAGTGAAAATAGTTTTACATTTTTCCTTCCATCTGAATGCCTTTTATTTTATTTTTTTTTCATTTTCTAAATGCCCTGACTAAAAGCAGTTCTAGCATAATATTGAATGGAAATAGAAACAGTGTCTATCCTTGTCTTGTTCCTGTTCTTTCAGAGAAATGTACTTAGGTCGTTCCCCATTAAGTATGATGTTGGCTGTCCATTATCATGTTGAGGAAGTCTCCTTCCATTCCTGACCTGTGGAGTGTTTTGGAAATAAAAGGTGGTTGATTTTGTCAAATGTGTTTCTCAGTCTGTTAAAATGGTCATGTGGTTTTGCTTTAATTCTATTCATATACATGTTATATGAAATAATTTTATATGTTAAACCAATCTTGCTTTCCTGGGATAAATCCCACTTTGTATACATAAGTTTGAGTTGTTATGATTTCTTGATGAATCGACACCTCTTTTTTAAAAATGTCTCTCTTTATCTCTAGTAACATTTGTTATTTTAAAGCCTATTGTGTCTGTGTAAAGCCACTCAAGCTCTCTTAGCATACTGTTTTTGTGATATATCTTTTCCCATTTTTTACTTTCAATCTACTGGTATCTTTGAAACTAAAATGTGACTTCTGTCGACTGTATGTAGTCTCGGAACTTTTTCTGCCTAAAAACGGGACATTTTAGAAGTTATCTTGTAGCAATTCTTGATGCTGCTTTCTCCCCTTCCCCCAACTCCAGGGCTTGTTGCTGCTTAATTGTTTGCTGTTGCGTTTAGTGACTTGGCTGGACAATTTCAGCAAATTCTATTTTCCTTTGCAGCTTTTTATATTGCTCCTTAGCCAATGAAGCCTGGGGCATGCTCATAATCCCCCTAAGCCCTCTCTCACACCCCCTAGAATAACAGTGGTTTTAGTGGGCTTCTCTGACTTTCACTGATCTGTTAAGCTTCTGGTTGGTCTGTTGTATCGATCACACTTAACTGTTAGCTTCCAGTAACTGCCGGCAGAAACGGCCTATGGTTTTCAACAATACCCAATGCCTTGAGTCATAAATTACTTCACAGTCTGATCCAATTAAGTCAGGCCCCTTTGCATGGTCATCTTTGAGGCCAGTCTTTGAGACATGTTATACCTCAGGAGGGTTCTTTTCAATCGTGTCTTTTTCTGGTTGTTCTGTTAAACTTCTAGTAGGTCTACCCTTTAATTTACTGCAATCCTGGAGCTACTAGCTTCTCTTCCTTGCTTACAACCTAAATCTTCATTGCTGTTGACAGTGCCCTTAGGCTTCAACATCTCTATACTTTGTTTCAAATAAAGTGAGTCTACTTAGAGTTAGCTATAGGTTTTCTGTTCTATAGCCTCTCTCCTCTCCTCTGCAGAACCTCTGTTCCACTATTCTGGAGATGGGGACAGAGACAGTTACCTGCTTCTCTTGGAGTGATACCCCTGGTGTGTGAGTGATATGCTAGACTGAGGGCGGTAGCCACTTGTCGTGTTGGTTTATTTCCCCTGTTGTGAAAACTCAGTCTTAGGAGCAAGTTGAGAGTTATTGGGGTCCAGTATTCCTAGTTTGCTGTTTCTGGAGTAATTTCAGTCCTATGAGTGGGGCTGTTTGGAAGAACGGATCTTTCAGTTACACTTGCCTGCAATCAAGTTTGTTCAACGGATTGCTGAGGGGGTAGGGCAGAGTTTGGTTACATATACTGACAGCCTGACTTTTCTGGGTAGAAACTGTAGTCCTAAACTGGGATCTGAGATTAGAGGGAGTCCTGTCCTTTTGACTACATTCGTCCAGAATAGAGTTTTTCTCACACTGAGCTGAGGGTTGGCTAGAGAAAACAGGTCATGCCTTCAGGTCTTACCAATATTTAGAAGATTTGTTTCCATTTCTGTCTGCTTTTAGGACAATTTCCAGAGACTGGTTGGTTGCTTTTGATTTTTAATAATCTCACCAGTTATAGTTGTTTCACTAGGGAGAGAGTCTAAGGAGCTTCTCATGCTGCCATTTTGGAAGAGCTTCTCCTTTCTTCCCCCTTTCCCATCACTTTTGCTGCCTTTGGTTTGCACCTCTCGTGGAAGCTTTGTCTCACATACACTTTACTGGGGAGCTTATATTAAGAAAGCATTTTAGAAAGAACGTTCAGACAATCTGTGGGAAAGAACTACATGAGTGGAAGCGATGCCAATGGTTGATGAAGTGGGCTGCTACAAGTTAGTAGACGGTGGCAGAGCTTAAGTTGTTCTCCTGCCATCCTCACGAGATTGGCATTCTTACACTGAGAGGGACTGGACTATCAGCCATCAGGTGATCATAAGGCTAAACGAGTTGCCATATACCCACAGAATTTGGAATTTTAGAGCAGGAAAAAGCTACCAAGTATGGACAGCATCTATATTTTCTAGATGAGAAAACTAAGACTTGAACAGGTAATTTTCCAAAGCCAATTAGATAATTAGTATAAAGTTTATTCTCTAAAGGTTTACTGTCGAGTTAAAAACGAGGAGACCGAGGCCAGCACAAGAAAATTAGATGCCAATTTATTACGCTCCCAGGCGAGGTTCTGTGGTCCCAGGGAAAAGGGCCAGGGAAGTTGCCTGTGATTCCTCTTAGGAGTGGGGTTTTATAGGGAGTGAAGGCATTCAATTGGATTTGGAGAAACAGGATGTGGATGGGGTGAGCTGCTATTGGTAGGTAGGTGGGATTTCCGGTGAGCGGGCTAAGTGCTGAGCGCAGAGGGGATTTCCAAGGCAGAGCTAGATGATGGGCATATTCCGATAATGTAATTTTCAAGCGGGGAGGGAGATGGGCGTGTTCAAACTCCCTGGCGAGGCAACCAGCCTTACAATTAGTATCTGAGTACATAAGTTTTCTGATTTTTAGTTTTGGTCTTTTCGCAAGGCACTATGGGAGACTTACTCCCTCATTTCTTTTTAGAAAAAAAAAAAAAGTACAATAAAAATTCAAATAAAAATAAAATGCATATTATAAAGCAGCTTTCTCTGAAAATAAATTCATATATTCTTTGAGGAAAAAAAATAATTAACTCAATATGGGTGCCCTGCTTGTCGTCCACCTGATTTGTCTCAGTGACTGAATCCAATCTATTTTGGAGTCAAATTGAAGGAAAAAGAAAAAAATTCATCTGTGAATTTTAATTCTATTGCCTCATATAAATTTGCATCTAGGTGTTAACCCTTCTCAACCATTCCTTTCTCAATTTTCCAGTGCTCTTTGCTGAGTGTGCGTGTGTCTGTGTGTGTGAGTGTGTGTGTGTGTGTGTGTGTGTTTGTGTGTGTTGGGTGGGGGGGAATCTCCTGCAGTCACTAATATGAACTAAGAAAAAAAACAAAACACAAATAATCTTGCAGTTTGATGTAAAAGAGATGTTGAGGTAGTATATGGATGGTGTATTATTCTGATTTTTTACTGAATATCCGTAATCATTGAAAAAGTGTTGTATCTTATTGTATAAGAAAAAGAAATATAATTTAAAATAAAAACTAATCTTTAAGTGCCAATTATATGCCAAATTCTTTACCTGCTTTATGTCATTTAATGTTCCTAGCCACTCAATGAGGCAGATATTTGTCTCCCCATTTCAAGTAAGGAATCTCTGAAAGGTGATTAACTTCGCTGAAGTCACCTGGCCGCAAATAGAAGAGTAAGAAGTAGGCTCATAAAAATCATCTCAAAATTCTTTAATCAACACTCTATGGTGCTGCTTCTTTTCAATAACATTTTTTTTTTTTTTTTCTAAATTGAAAATCTGGATGTGCCATGGAGTTTTACAAATCCAGCTATTTAGATGTATTTATGGAATTTGTTCTTTGGCTTCTTGTTTTTAAAAAATTACAGTGTAAAGTTCGTAGGGAGCTGGAACTTCATTCCTTTTGTGAATGATTGCTCGCGGAGTCTGATAATGTGCAAAAGTTTCAGTGTTTGCTACCATCCTTGTTACCACCTTTTTCTCATCCTCCTTCTTCCTCATGTATAAATACCATATAACACAATTCACCAGGACAGTTCTGGTTTGTGCCTACAGTTTGGCATAATTATTAATTATTTATCCCCAAATTGTCCTGGTTTGGATAATTTCATGGTCACCTTAATAGTCACCACTAAATGTGTCAAGGGTGTTGTATTGCAGGTGCCCACTAGGTGTCAGCAGTGTGACCTTCAGAGAACACTTAGAGAAAGGATTTCATTACAAAAGTCAAATCAGAGCAAGTAATTAAGTATAGTTCAAGAGCTACCTGAAGCCTTGGCCATTCAAAACAAACGAGAGGACGGGGGAGGAGAGAAGGAACAGGTGCAGAACAGGTAGTTCCTTCTTGGTATCTGACAGAGAGGGAAGGGTTCCTTTCCTCATCAGAAGGACGCCAGCGATCTGTGGAATGAGCACTATGGTATGCTTTTGAATTTTCACCCACAACACAAATGCAATGAAATGAGAAAACAGCTTTAACTGGAGAGATTTTTATTCCTTTTATAAATTGCTCAAGCCATGATCGGATGGAGGTCCTCCAGGTAACTCCATGGACTTATTAACAAGTCTATTGAATAACTGCTTGTGAGTTGGAAGCTGAGTTGCCTGAACACAAATGGTTTAAAGAAGATTAGAGAGCATCTACATGCAGAGCTCAGTAACACACTCGGAATCTTCTTGGAAGGACTCAGGGATGTACTTGTATTACCTTTGATCCAGGTGGATGCAGACACTCCCTAGAAGCCTCTCCAACTTCAGATGTGTGACATATATCCACACACAGGGGTGTAAGTAGGAGAAGCCCACAAGAATGGCTCTGCAGATGTTCGTGACTTTCAGTCCTTGGAATTGTTTGCTACTGCTAATGGCTCTTGAGTATTCTAAAGCATCTTCTGATGTTAATGAATCTGCAAATTCCACTGCTCAGCATGCACCTGACGCTTGGTTTGCCACTTCCAGCTCAGAGCCAGATGAAAGGATATCTGTTTTTGAACTGGATTATGACTATGTGCAAATTCCTTATGAGGTCACTCTCTGGATACTTCTAGCGTCCCTTGCAAAAATAGGTAAGTCCTTAAACACCTGGTTTGGTGAGTTTGTTTTTTTCTTTTTTTAACATAAGATAGTGAATGTGAAGATGCCTTACAGATACTGGGCTAAAAGGATTGTAACTGTTACTGCTATTACATTAAAAATTCTCTTCCCCTCAGTCAAGGGAAAGTCATAACTGCTTTTTACTAAGCTAAGTAATGCTTCAGGATTGTGCTTTGAAATTTAAGTGCATACTTCTGGGTCCTGGACTGTGTTGGTTTCTTCTCATTTTAGGGTGACAACCATCTGACATTATTGACATAGAAAACTCTCAGATTCTATGCTTTAAAAATATAGAGAATAAAGCATGTAAACCTGGGCATGATGCAAGGTGGAAATTTCAGGAACCACATAATGTTTCTCCTGTAAAATTTTCTTGGCTGTGTAATTGTGGGTTTCATCAATGACCCCATTGTTTATTCTTTAGAAGTAGCATATGCTTCTTGCAAATTGACAGAAAGCAAGGAATAAGAAAACCACAGGCAACTCATATCACTCAGTGATGGGATGTGGGGCCATATAAGATGATATCCGTCTGTAAAATATCAGTTTACAACGAAGCCAAATGGGGCCAGTGAGGTATCTCTAGTTTCCTTTGTGAACTAATGTGTATCCAAGTCAGTAGATTAAATTCCAATCAAGGGATCTTTGTGTCAAAATCCAAAGAGATGGTTACACTCTGTGATTACTTAATCCCTAACTGCACCCCTTGTCTCTTTAAAACCGCCTTACTCCAAAGTGGAAACTTAATACAATTATCTCAAGTGTAAGCACAATGTCTCCTTTGCCTCAGCTATAAATTTTATGTTATGTATGTAGATTGCCTTGCTGAGATCAAATCTATGAAACATTTTGATTCTCATTTATGTATATAGGTATATGTTCTCTAGGATGGGTGTGAAATGTGGGTTGAACCTTGAGATCTGGCAGTTACCTTCCGTGGGCTCTGTCTATTCACCTAGCTCCCTCCCCATGAGTGTTGGGGACACTGGTATCGGTGTCTTCTTTAGACTCTCCTTTATAACTGCTATTCATTTTGAGCTACTAAAGCGTGAAGATTAAATAGGAATTGTTAGTTTGAAGAACTCTTGTGCTATTTGTTCAGTGATTAAGTTACACAAAGGGTCTTACATGATTTTTAAGAGGTATTCGAGTAAAAATGGCTTTCCAAATGGATAACATTCCCAGTTCAGAGAAGCCTAACATCTTTCGTGAATTGTATGATTATATTCAAGGTGATCTTACTTGGTACTTGAGTTTTCCTTTTAAAACAATATGCTAGCGATTCTGCGCTCCCTGCTCCCCACTCCACAACCTGGCTTCCTCTTCACAGAAATGGCTCAAGTCCATCTAAGTACGAGGAAACATCCTGTCACGGACTAGCTAGTTGCTGTGTCTATCAATAAACATCTAAATGCAGTAAGGGTGCATTTTGTCTTGGTTTTATATTTGTGTAAAACCTAGCTTGCTTTCTAGAGCAGGCGTCCCCAAACTTTTTACACAGGGGGCCAGTTGACTGTTCCTCAGACCGTTGGAGGACCGCCACATACTGTGCTCCTCTCACTGACCACCAATGAAAGAGGTGCCCCTTCCTGAAGTGCAGCAGGGGGCCGGATAAATGGCCTCAGGGGGCCACATGCGGCCTGAAGGCTTTGGGGACGCCTGTTCTAGAGGGATTGTATGTATCCAGGTTCATTCTGTCTAGGAGTGAAGAGCACTGTGAAAATACGATTGTTCATAGAACTGTTGTTTTAAATGTTCTTGATTTTCATGATGTAACTTAACATACTTTAGGAAAAAAGAGTAGGATATCAGCACATGCTTATCAAATACAATTTCATATTAATCAGTCTTGAAGAATTTAGATTATTTTTATATTCCATATGGACATGAGGAGTGAAGAGAAAAAAGGCCATATTTATTGAATATATATTATGTGCCAAGTACTAGGCTGGTAGATTTATGTATAAGGGCGTATTTACTAGGGCCAAAATAATAATAATGATTATTTCAAATTTTAACACTTAAGGAATTCATATGGGTTTCTAAAGATTCTAATATAAGATGTGAATCAGAATAAAATTAATAATCATTATAATGATTCATTCTTTTGTTCCTCCTTCTATCAAGGCACATTTTCTGAGCACCCATGAAATACGTGGAAATGACCATGATCCCTGACCTCAAGGGACTTGGTCTAATGGGGAAGACAGGTTAATTTAGTACTTACTACCCATAGACACACTGACAGAAAAACATCAAAACCCTCCCCCCGTCCTTTTAAAAGCATGCAATTATTCATTTATAAAACAAAGAGAATGTAGAACAAAGATAACACAAAGGCACCTCAGACTTTGTGGTTTATCTTCTACTTCGGTTCCGTGTCCTAGAACATCACAGATGAATGCTCCGTGAATCTTTGGGAGGAACTGAATTGTAGGGCCTTCTTTGACTTTCAAACAGGACTTTCAATATTTGTGTCAATTTAAGTTCTAAGGACTGATACTCTGAATTCTAAGTAATTGACTCTATTGTCCATCATGAAAGGGAGAAGCTTTAAAATGTGAAAGGCATGTAGCATTTCCCTTTACAGGGCCCTACTTACGGATGTGTGGCCTCTTCCTGCTACAGCTGTGTCAAGTGCAACTTGGCTTAAGGCAGGTAAATGTTGAATCCATTTCAGGAAACTGGATCCCTGAAAGCAGGGCCAAACTGGGGAGCCAGAGGGCCTGAGAAAATCACTCTATGGGCTCTTCCACCTCCTTCACATATTTAAAAAAGTTAAGTTTGGTTAAAATAAGCACTCACTGAAGAAGAAGGAGGAGGAGAAGGATAGGAAAAGGTAAGGAGAAAGAAAAGGAGGAGATAGATAAGGAGAAGGAGGAGGAAAAAAGGAGAAGAAAGAAGGAGAATAAAGAGGAGGAAGAGGAAATGGAGAAATAAGTAGTTATTAGAAAATAGAGTTCAGTGCTCCAGAAGAGGTACCTGCACTGACCCCGAAGCCAAGTGAAAGTGGGGATGATCCGATTCCTTGGTGATAATTATACCCGTTGTGTTAACTTGCTTGTTTATGGTGAACGAGTAAGCTCAAAGCCATGGCCAGAGAAGCCCACACCATCTTTGGATGGCTGAATCTACTAATTCCCAAGGAGACATTTGCTGGCTCCCCATGGCCTGTGGCTGGGAGTCCACCATCATCCTTAAGTTTGAATTCAAGATCTTCTATTATTTGTCTCAAAATCATCTTCCAAGTCTTCTGACACTTTTCCCAATTCAAAGATTGCTCCAGCTGGGTGGATTCCCTCCCTCAGTGAATGTCAGATATCTGGCTAGTCCATTTCTCCCTCTCTTCTTTCACTCTTGATATCCCCCCCCAAAATGTCTCCCATTCTGTTATCCAAATATGCAAATTCTCACCATTCTGCGACAACCTATTCAATCTCTTCTCATGAAAAAGCTTATCTGATAAACATTTAACTGTTTATTCATTCATTTATACACTTAGCAGATGCTTTCAGCAAGTAGACCAGCTATTGTGGACAAAATACCGTGCCAAGCCTTTGGGGAGATACGAAGATGTAAATCATTCTGCCTGAGTTTAGGGAGTTTCCAGATTAGTGGGGGACATGAATCATGCACAAAAAAATAGTAGACAGGGATCATTGTTATTAAACAGAGTCAGATAAAATGTTTTATTAATAGGAATTCAGAGGAAGATATGAACTCAGGAAGAAGCTAGGGAAAGCTAAGCCTCAGAGGATGAGCAGGACTTAAAGGCATCAAGGAAAAGGACAATCCAAGCAGTGACAATAGAATAAGAAGATAAGAAAGAGGCCTGAAGAGTGGCAAGGCCTTTGCCTGGCTGAATGCAGGCTACATGAAGATAATGCAGAGCGTGTGGGAGATGGAGAGAACCCCATGGTGATCTGCTGAGCTCTGATCTCTCACCAGGTCTGATGATATGTTCAGTATACCCTTCACTATATACGTACATGTCATCTTCTTATTTGTTTATGTCTTGTTTCAAAAACTTTATTAACCATGGGAATTGCAGCTGTCTACCTCTTTGGTCTTCTACCTGGTGGTACTTAACAGTAATCTTTGCACGGTGAGGCTCAACTAATATCCCCTGTTTACAATCCAGGAGATGCTTTCTGTGCCTTCAGAATCTTAGGTGGGAACTGAGACAATCAGAGACCCGTGGTGTAGAAAAATCATCTGGCAGTAGAGTGTGGAATGGCTTGGGGGATCAAGAGTGAGATTGGAGGTCAGGAAGACAATGCAATCATTAGGATGAGAAATGGGGAGACTCTAAATCAGGTGTCCCCAAACTGCGGCCCCCTGAGGCCATTTATCCGGCCCCCCGCTGCACTTCAGGAAGGGGCACCTCTTTCATTGGTGGTCAGTGAGAGGAGCACAGTATATGACGGCCCTCCAACGGTCTGAGGGACAGTGAACTGGCCCCCTGCGTAAAAAGTTTGGGGATGCCTGCTCTAAATAAAGGCAGTGGCCAAAGATATGGAGAGGAGGGGATGGATTTTGGGGGTAGGGAATGACAGTCATGACATAAATGAATACAGAATTGATTGTATAAGAGTCACTCATGAAAACGCAACCTGATTTTCCTCTTCAGTGGCCGACCAGATGGCAATGTCATTGGTTAAACATAGGAGATAAAATAAAGGCCTTGTAATTTTTGTGTATGTGTTTGGTGAAGAGGGGAATGAGGTCAGATTAAGTTTGGAATAAGCTGAGGTTTTGGTGGCTGTGATAGATTCTGCATAAGCTTGAAAGCTGGGCGTGCACCAGCGCAAAAGTTTCAGCCTCGTTTCTCCTTTTCCCGCATGCACCCTCGCAGATCCCTGTAAGATGGGAAAGTAGGAAGGAGGATGGAGGAGGGGACAGCTGGCTGAGAATGCCTCTGTGACCTGCATTGCGCTGGGCATGTTACTTATTTGATCTTACTGACGACCCTCATGGCGCTACCGGTTCCTGCTACAGATGGGACGCTGAGGCTGAGATGCCAGCCAGCTTGCCCGTGGTTCTGTCTGCCCGCCTTTAAAGGACCTCACGTACACCCAGAACCGTTTCGTTTGCAAACACCTAACCCTGCTCTCCGCTGTCCCGCAGGCTTCCACCTCTACCATAGGCTGCCGGGCCTCATGCCGGAGAGCTGCCTGCTCATCCTGGTGGGGGCCCTGGTGGGCGGCATCATCTTCGGCACCGACCACAAATCGCCTCCGGTCATGGACTCCAGCATCTACTTCCTGTATCTCCTGCCGCCCATCGTGCTGGAGGGCGGCTACTTCATGCCTACCCGGCCCTTCTTTGAGAACATCGGCTCCATCCTGTGGTGGGCGGTACTAGGGGCCCTGATCAACGCCCTGGGCATCGGCCTCTCCCTGTACCTCATCTGCCAGGTCCGGGCCTTTGGCCTGGGTGACGTCAGCCTGCTGCAGAACCTGCTGTTCGGCAGCCTCATCTCGGCGGTGGACCCCGTGGCCGTGCTGGCCGTGTTTGAGGAGGCCCGCGTGAACGAGCAGCTCTACATGATGATCTTTGGGGAGGCCCTGCTCAATGACGGCATTACTGTGGTGAGGCGCCAGGTGTCCGTTCCTGCTTCCTGGGGAGATGAGGGGTCGAGGTGGGGCTGGGGACCGGAGGCCGTGGGGCGGGCTCCGGGGTGGCTCGGCCGCTGCAGGGCAGGGATGAGCTTCAGTCCGCGCGGTGCGGCCCGAGTTCTGGTCCATTTCCTTAGGATCCGCATGGCCTCCATAACCGCTCACTCACACTGCCTGCCATTCACAAGCCCACTCGTTTCTTTAAAGCGTGGAAAAGGAGAGAGAAGTATCATTCTTGAGTTAAACGTAGTTTTTCACTTAGCAAACAGAAACCGTTGCTAATGGCCCCTCTGGGCTTTCAGGCTAGCTAAAGCGGAAGCTGATGTTTTTATTTTCTCTCCATCATCGGACCTCACTCTCATTCCCTTTATCTGCGGTTTTAACAGACTGCATTTATTAGGTTAAATAAAAGATAAGCGTCCGGGAAGAGATGACAAAAGATTTGTGAAAATGTGTTAGTTTGTGTATCACTCAGTTGCAGGACTTGTATGGAAAACGTGAACCAGGCGTTTTTGCTTATGAGTCTTTCTGGCAGGAAACTGAGAAGGACTTAGAGGCTTGAGCAACATCTAGCATTAAGGCCCAGGGGGTGCCTGTAGGCTAGGGGTGTGGAATATTGAGAACTAGCTAGTCCCGTTGCTCAATTTCGTTAATGACTACAAACTTTCAGCAACTGCTAGACAGGAAGATTTTCATACATACGTTTCTTATTTTTAAATTTCTGTCACAGCATATAAGTAATGCTGTAATACATTTTCACTGTAAGAGTCAAATAGTACAAAACTATATAGCATGAAACGCAAAAGCTTCTGCTTGCCCTCACCTCCTCTGTGCAAGACGCAACCACTTTTATCTGCTTGGCCTTTTCCTTTGGGTCTTTGTTAAACGCATATATAACATTTTTGCAAATCTTTTATTATTTGATGTGTGTGTGAGCTGTATTTTTTAATATAAAGTGGGTGGGTTATATGTATTGCTTAGTTATAAAAAGTCTTAAAATTCTGTGTCTTTCTTTTTCTTTTCTTTCTTTTTTTTTTTGAGACAGAGTTTTACTCTTGTTGTCCAGGCTGGAGAGTGCAATGGCACAACCTTAGCTCACTGCAAGGTCTGCCTTCCGGGTTCAAGTGATTCTCCTGCTTCAGCCTCCCAAATAGCTGGGATTACAGGTGCCCACCACCACACTCAGCTAAGTTTTTGTATTCCATCCTGTGGTGGGCAGTACTAGGGGCCCTGGTCAATGCCTTGGGCATTGGCTTCTCCCTCTACCTCATCTGCCAGGTCAAGACCTTTGGCCTGGGCGACATCAACCTGAACTCAGGTGATCTACCTGCCTTAGCCCCCCAAAATGCAAGTGTTACAGGGGTGAGCCTCTATGCCTGGCCCTCTTTTTAATGTCTTTTCAGCTATTACATAGTATTTTTTAGATGAAGTTTACAGTAACTTACTTAACAGTTTCCTGAGGAGTGGGTTATTTAGGTTGTTTCCAATGTTTCATTTTTACAAGCAAGGTTGAAATGCCTACTGAATATGCTTTTTTTCTGCGTGCCTCTTCTTTGCATTCGTTTTTTTCCATGATATTTTCTTAGAAGTGAAATAAAAGTTAAAATGTGCCACTGTTTTAATCAGCCCCTCTCTGCCTCCTTGGCAAATGAGAAATTCTCACTCTAAGGTTATAGATGGCCAAACACATGACACCCAACACTGGGCAGATGAGATTGACAGCAGTTTATCAGTCACCTATACTGACTGCCTAAGGGAGGAGGATGCCACATGCCTTACAGGGCCACACAGGGGCTGCACTTGGAAACCAATAAACAACCAGGAGCTGTGGGAGGCAGGCTTTGTGGTAATGAGAGGGTGAGGGGCTCCCTGGATCTCACAGGAGGAAGTCATGGAGTTGGAATGATTTTGCAGGTTGGCAGGGACCTAAACCCTTCTATTCAGGAAGAAGCAGGAACTGTGCCTGGTATCCTGGATAAGGAGGGTGGTTTGGCTAGAGGATCTTACTCAGGTGGCGGAGTTGGGAAGGAAACTTGCAGGTAGACCAGTTGAGGTCTTCATAATTTTGCCAAATATCGAGGCAGTACATAATATTGAACCTTAATTTCAAGCTCTAGACCGCAGCTGTTAAGATTTTCCAGAAATCCTTAATCAGCTTATACTTCCTTAATCAGTGTTCACTTCCTTAGACAGAGTATTGCATGTATGTTTTCTTGTATCTCTGACAAGGGACATTGTTTTCTTAATGTTTTCTAATGTTATGAGCTAAAAGGATTTCTCATGTTTGTTTTAATTTGCATGATAATATTAGGCAACTTTTCAGCAACTGCCAATCATTACTGTGTCATATGCTGTAAATTGAAAACTCATATCCTTTCAGGGTTGACAAGCTTAAAAAAATACAGTACACCAGCCTGGCATGGTGGCTCTTGCCTGTAATCCCAGCCCTTTTGGAGGCTGAGGAGGGTACACCTCAAGGTCAAGAGATTGAGACCATCCTGGCCAATGGTGAAACCCCATCCCTACTAAAAATACAAGAATTGGCTGGGTGTGGTAGCGGGTGCCTTTAGTCCCAGCTACTAGGGAGGCTGAGGCAGGAGAATCACTTGTACCCAAGAGGCAGAGGTTGCAGTGAGCTGAGATCATGCCACTGCACTCCAGCCTGGCAATAGAGTGAGACTCCATCTCAAAAAAAAAAAAAAATTACAGGACCCCAAGTTAAATTTAAATTTCAGTTAAACAGTGATTACAGTTTTCAGTATCAGTATGTCATATCCCAATTTTTATATGCAAATGTTGCATCTTGCCCATTTTTCTTTGGGACCACTTGCTTAAAAAAAAGGTTTGTAGAAATTCATTAAGTTACCTTACCTTTAAACTTTTGAATGTCCTATAAAAACCAAATATTTTCTTCCATTTTGTCATTTAAAATTTTTTAGATTATGGTATTTTTTACCCTATAAAAGTTTTAAGCTTTTATATAGTCAAACCTACAAATGTACTCTTTTGTTGCTCCTGGAGTTTATATTTTGCTTCCAGAGATTGTGTCTAACTAAAAGACATACAAACATTTTGTTTTTAATTTTTTTTTTCCATTTACAGTTTACTAATTCTCCTGGCAAGCAAGATAAGTTTTTTTGTGTGTGTGTGAAATCTTTTAGGTGAGGAAAAGTCTCTTTTGAAAAATAATCTGGGCCGGGCGCGGTGGCTCAAGCCTGTAATCCCAGCACTTTGGGAGGCCGAGGCGGGTGGATCACAAGGTCGAGAGATCGAGACCAACCTGGTCAACATGGTGAAACCCCGTCTCTACTAAAAATACAAAAAATTAGCTGGGCATGGTGGCGCGTGCCTGTAATCCCAGCTACTCAGGAGGCTGAGGCAGGAGAATTGCCTGAACCCAGGAGGCGGAGGTTGCGGTGAGCCGAGATCGCGTCATTGTACTCCAGCCTGGGTAACAAGAGCGAAACTCTGTCTCAAAAAAAAAAAAGAAAAATAATCTGAGCTATACCTATGGATTTCCTAAGCAAAGAAGGCCCATACATGAAACCTGATGTCAAATCATTTATTCATAATGGGAATTCCTAACTGTTGAGGGTAGGAACTAGAATCATCAGGCTGGTGCATTCTACCTTTGTAGGCAAGCTTCACAAAAGGCCACATTGTCAGGAAGCTGCCGGGGAAGCCTGGACTCCAGACTCCCATAGGATCCAGAGATTTCATTTTTCAGAGTCTGGTCCTCAGGCCATGTGTCTCAGCATCACACTGGTGTTCCTGATGAGTCTTCAGATATCCATCCCATTTCACACCCTCCAACCCAGACTGTCTGGAAGTCAAACCTAAGAACCTGTGTTATTAAAACCTCAGCTGACTGCTGAAGTTTGAGAACTATAGATTTATTGTTTTTAGGTTGAGAGAAGCTGATAAATGTTGATATAAAATGATGACATGCCTAGAACAAAGACCGTATCCATCTCGGCAGACTGCACTGGATCAGTCTCTCAGATCCCCTTTCCCCAACCCATTCCTTCTGTGAATACTTTCATACTTTCAGTTTTGCTACAAACGAGTAAGTGTCTTTGTCTGGTAATCCATTCCATCTCTTAAAGGGAGCCCCTCTGACCCATGATGTGCTCATTTCCTAGGCAGTCTCCCAGAGATAACCTTATTTCACTGAGATCCAAGTTTTTTGGGGTGTTATTTGGTTACTCTCACCCCCACTACTGACAGTGCCCTGGAGGGTGTTCACCTGTGATATGACCAGGGCCACCCCTTGGAAGTCCATTCTGAGGCAATTATTCAACCTCTCCTTCATAAATTATTAGAGAGATCAAGAAACTACATGGTAAATACCATCTCTTTAATTTTCACAGCACATTCTTTCTTTGTCAAAAACTCCATGATATAGTCTACAGAAGTTCTTACCAAAGAAGAGTCTTTATCAATTACAAAAAAAAAAAAAGCGTTTGACTCCTGCCTGGAACTTGAGAATCTGACTTCCCTCTGGGTTATCTCTAGATTTCATGGAGAGCCAGTAACGGCTTGGTTTGGTTCTGGTTGGTGTTTCTTTATTAGCAACATCTGTTTGACTGCCCCAAAGTTTAATTGCTTTGGGGGAGACATTTTTAAGCATGATCATTTCAGGATAAAATTATAATTTTCAAGTGACCAGAGTAAGTGCTGAGGACACTGTTGTGACCTCTGCTGGGCAGAGCTGCTGTTGCACTGGCTCCGTGGGGTTGCCCACACGTCACTCCTGGGCCACTCTGTGGTCACCCACAGCACAGTGAGTATTAAGTGTGCGCTGGCACTGCTGGGTCCCTAAGTGAAAACAGAGAAGCCCCAGGACCAGATTTAGAACTTGCTGCCGTCCAGTTGTATTTTGAGCTAAGGGCCTTGACCTCACCCTTTCATTGAGGAAGGAGCCTTCCTGGGGCAGCAGTCACAAGCATGCCTTTTCAGCAAGGCAGCTGAGT